TTAAATGGGAAAACGGTCTTTCAGGAACACAACAGGACTTAGGCTACATGGCGTTTTTATATCGAAGGGACACAGGCCCAACCACTCATTTGATGGTTCTTTTTTACCGTACATTCATAGATTCACAATGACTATCGGAGACTCATTATCTGCTTAGCGGCTATCGAGCGAAGACTACAATGATCTGGTGCCAATCTGAAGTTCCAGGTTTCAGCTCCACAAACCTGTGGAACGTCTGCTGCGGCTGTCATGACATGTTCACGGCCTGGTCAGTAAAAATTGCGAGGATTCAGGCCGCCAGGTTCCGCCCCACATAGAGCTGCCCCACATAATATTTTTTCTTCCGCTATATAAGGCGGACAACCCAGGACACCTCTTTGTTTTTTCTCTTTTCTTACTTCTACATCATCAGTTGGGATTAAACTATTAACCGTCATGTTAATTATTTAATTTCATACGGAAGACTTCGCTACGGCGACTTGCTGCTAGGCACCCTCCGAAGTGGGTGTTTGGCCGTTCCCGGTCTCCCAGAGAAACGAAGCTGCCTACCTATCACGTACTTTCGATACTATTGTTGCTGTCCGTGTTGAGGTTGTTCCGACATACCACGATGGAGAGATAGAGGGATTGAATAGTTGTAGACGTAACACACCATGTGGGCTTAAAGAAGCCTCGCCAACGAGTTTCTGGCCTAGCACTTGTTATGGCTTTTCCTGCAGAATGATGATCCTATGCTGTGAGGTTGAGCCTGATGCTGCTGGGGAGCAAATTTTTTAAACCGTGACGAGCTGCGTCCTTAACCTGGCTTTGCAACTTAAGTCCAAGCCCTACAGTGTATCAGGACAAGGTAAATGAACAAATCTAAATTCTGCAGGTCGTCGATGCCCGTGGCGTGGGTTGAGATATCTTCGATATTCTCTTGGTGCCATCAGTTGCATTCTCGAACGCAAAATTATTTCTCGTCTCTGCCACAGCTGTACTGTGTACATTCGCAATTGTTGCATGCACGTGACCGTCGGGATTGGTGCCGTGCACGGACCACTCGGTCGGAAAGCGCGACTTGCGGAAGAGAAATTTTTGGCCAGAGATCCGTCATTCGGGGGAGTCCCAGCTTGTGGCTAAGCATTCTCCTCTTGCCAACCGGTCCTTTCCAACCCCACGGACAGCTTCATTGTCCTCCACGTAGCTCGAACAAGTCGAATACTTCCCAGAGAACAGCGCTTATCATGTCGTCGCTCTGGAACGCCTTTACCGGCGGCAACAAGCCGCGCCAGCAGCAACATGAACAGACACACGCCTTTGATGCGCCTGCCCCTTCATCGCAGACCAGCTTCGACCCATCCCAGGGCCAAGGAGTAGAAGCCTTCCTCCAGAGCTCGACGTTTGCTGATCCCTCACAATTGCATCCCCTCGCTGGGCTCAATAAGGATACGCTCGAGTATCTAACGCTCGAGGACTCTGCCCTTTCCGAACTCCCAGGCGGCCAGTCCGTCCTGCCATCACGAGGATTTACCGATGATCTCTGTTACGGTACCGGCATCACATATCTAGCCGCCCTGTCGATAGGAGGTGTATGGGGTCTGCAGGATGGCCTGAAGAAGTCTGTTGGTCAGCCTCCTAAGCTGCGAATGAATGCCATTCTCAACGGAATGACTCGGAGGGGACCGTTCCTCGGCAACTCGGCCGGTGTTGTCGCAATTGTGTACAACTGCATCAACTCCTTAATTGGTAGTCTTCGCGGCAAGCATGACTCTGCCAATACAGTCATTTCTGGCTTCCTTAGTGGTGTTGTATTTAAGAGCACTCGTGGTGTTCGATCAATGATGATTTCTGGTGGTGTGGTCGGCTCCGTTGCCGGTGTCTGGGCTGTGAGTCAATTACCCGATGACCTTGTGTCGCCATTGAAATACTGACTTGAGTTCTTTGTAAGATTGTGCGACGATCATTCTTTCCTATTCCTGAGCCCGCAGCTCCTATTGAGAAGCTGTGATTTTATCTTCATATGACATGATGGTGGTTTCGTCACCAAACCAGTTTAAAATTTACAACACTCTTAATGTCGATGCCACACGGCCGGTTAAAGACCAAGCAAAAGCAAAAAGGAAAGAGCATGGAAGGCAGGTGAGGAAGGAAAATGTACGGATATGGCGGCGACCGATTTTGCCCCTTGTATATGCCGATACAGCAGATTCGGCGGAGTTTTTCTTTTCGGTGGCATTTGTCATGGACGATCTCTCCTCCCATGAACTCAGTGTACATTATTACATCAGGTACCCAGCGAGCATTAGACCATACAGGATGAGGCGCCTGGTCTACAATTTACATGATTGGAATATGATGTGCGAAGCTGGATAACAGAAGTGAGAAGAAGCAAGGGTGTGTGTGTGTGTGTGTGTGGTTATTGAAGGCCCACAGGAAGGCTGTGAATATACGTGTGGCATTGTGTGCTAGTATGGGAATCGATGGGATATTTCACACCTGTCGGATTGCAGGCGGCCATAAAATAAACACGTCTGAGCACCTCACCTCGACTAACCCCTTCCCCTCTAATCATCCAGCGCAGTCTACGGAATCCCGCCTTATTTTGACTTTTTAAGGCGCATCACAAACACCAACTTTCCCCCTCAGACTGCCCGGCAAGACGAAGAGATCAACGCACCAACATGTGCCTCCCCTGCTTCCCGTGGACGTGGACGAAATACGAAGACCCCCTAGACACATTGCCAGAGCAATCTGTCTGGATACATGACGGGAACACCTGGGCACTGCAGAAAATAGTAAGTATGGCGAGTTCTCTAGGTCGTGGTTGGCTCGCAGCCGAAGTGCGCCGTCTGAATACAAGGTGAGCGGCAAGTGAGCAGTGAAGCGGCCCAGAGCACGCACACGGGCACATGTTGTCTGCCAACACTCCATGTGCCTTTCTCTCCCTCGCGCCTTTTTTTCTCTCTCCCATTCCGTCTTCATCTGCACCCCTCGTCTGCAAATGCCCTCGGCAGCGGCCAATTCCTAGCCATGCCCGAGGCAGGCACCGACCTCAAGTCTCCGAAGCCTCGTCGTCCACTTCCCAAGGCCGACAACCCTCTCTCCCGCCAGGTGCACTTTGACGATCCCAACTCCAAGACAAAGCCGAGCTCAGCTGCCGCCCAAGAGCCAAAAAACACACAGCCCGATTCCCACCCGCAGGTCGGTCCACCGCCTCTGCCAAACCTCAACCGTCCTCCCTCGGACCAGTGGTTTACAGCTGCCAACCCGACGCGCAGTATAAATCTACCTGCAGCCCAGCCGCCGTACGCCCATTTCCCCCATCTACATCCTCACCCGCCATTCCACCAGCAGTCTTTTGTCCAGGGCGTGACATATTTCCCTGCTGCCAACATGGGAGATTATCAGAATTGCGCGCCTCCCCCTACGGGAGTCAACTTTCAGCCTCCCGTGCCGGATACCACGTTTGGGCCGATGCCACATGTCTATGTGCCTAGGTTTGATGGTGGCCCGGTATACGGCGGCGGCGGCGTTGTTCATGTCAGTCCTCCTTATTCTTCGTTCTTGTCCCCTTCTTCTTGTTTATTTGCTGCTCCGAGTGTGAGGCCTACGATTACCGTGGTTTCCCCAAAGACGTTTTATGTCGGGGGGTACAACTATTATGCAAGTGCCGGTTGTTTTGCTCTGCTGAGCTGCTTTGGGCCGTTTTTGATGACCTCTTGCTTTGGATTACATGACACGATTCGTACTAACACCCTCGCAGCAGCCAGTGGCAGCCGCGCCCCAGGGCTACGTCGTCCAGCCCGGAATGGTGCCCTTGGCCCAGCAGCCCGTCATGCTCAACCCTCACGCATACGTCCCTGTAGGTGCCCCCGGCATCCCAGGCCAGCCGATGATGAGCGCCGCCGCCATGCCAGCGCCCATGATGGCCGCCGCTGCCGCTCCGGGAGCAGGCGGAGGTGCCATCCCCATCATTCCAGGTAATCTCCCTCCTCCTCCTCCTCCTACCTCTACGGCCATGCCCGAAGTGTCTGGCATGGGGCGTACGCCCAACGAGGAAATGCTCCGTCAGGTCGAATTTGCCTACAGCAACCGCTTGTTCGAGCCGCAGGACTTTAAGCCTGCTGATGACGACCCATCTCGCTATTACTATGTTCGTGAGGTTGACGGGAACTGGACCCAGCGCAATCGGTTTACTATTGATCATATGGGCGATTGCAGGTGGTATGTCACTGATGAGGGGTGGTTTTACGCAGTGAGATTGCCAGATTAGACGTGGACTGTTGAGGTAAGTCTTGCCGTACGTATTTCGAACTGCGGAAGGTTGTGGAATATTGACTTTGGATAGCTTGCTCGTTCAAGAAAATTGGGAATAAGACGTGAGCAGATGTTATTTAGGGTTGACACGTAAGTCTAACGAATGACGGAGCACGGATGGAGTCGTTCTAACGGCGCTTTGCGTAGGCAACTTCGTTTCGGGAAACCGCAAAAGTACGAAGAGGGATTCCAACATGCTAGTTTGGGCCACTATGGCAAGATAACAAACTCGGTAGATTATGATGATGCAGTTGGACTTTATAAACCATGCAGATGAGCCCGAGGTATCTTTATGTGTAGTCAGCTTTTGCCAACCCCAGTATCCGGGTATAGTGGTCCCGTAGTATACAATATTGCTCATTCATTCAGAGCACGCTTTAAGCCATCGTTTGAGCTTCAGTGATTTACCCCGTTTATCCCCGGCTGTCCCATGCTCTATCGTAAAGTCCGCTTGATAATGCTCTCAAAACAATATAGATACATGTATGCTTTATCCTTCTGCGGTGGGTCTTTTCAAAGGGTGCGCTTCCGTATTAAGCACATATTCATCCAAACTAATCAAATCCGGCGGTGAAAAGATGAGATAGAAATACTTGAGCGTCTCGGCGAGCCAAAAACTCTACACACCAGTTAGTCAACACTAGTCACAGGTATAAAAGCTCGAGCACACACAGTAGCAAAAGAAAAAAAGGGGGTTGGGTTTATCTGACCTCCATTGAATCAACCTTGTTCGTATTCCCGCTCGTCGTGACATCTGAAATGGCCGAATACGCATATTTGGTTTCCGTCGAGCCCAGGATCGCCTGGAACATGGCCCACGCCGTGTCCTGCAGCTCCTTCTTGCCCGTGATGCGGTACAGTATGAACAGGCTCTCGATTGCCTCGGGGCGCAGCTGGTACTGCGGATCGCGGGCGTTGACGAACCCCTTGGGGAGGTTCTTGCCACCCACCCTCTTCCAGACGGCGTCGTCCCAGGGACACTCCTTGCTGTCGTTGCAGGGGATGAGCCTGAAAATCTCGGGCATCAAGCCGGTCGGGAAGACGCTGTATGCCCAGCCGCAGCCGCGCGCGAGACGCTCGCCCAGCGAGACGTGCTCGTCAATGCTGAACAGGCGGCCGCCGAGGCCAAACATGCCGCCTGCGAAACAGGTGAGGTGCTGGCTTTCCGGGACGAGCTTCTCCGCGCTCCGGGCGTGGTAGTCTCCCGAGAAGAGAATGTCGTCCTCACTGGGCAGCATGGGCCGGAAGAGGAGGTGCTGGGCGGCCGTGTCCATGGACGTGCGGTACATCTGCTCGTATACGGGGTCGACGCCGCCGGTGAGGGCGTGCATTTTCGGGAAGTACTCGTAGAGGGAGTCGGCTCGTGCGCCAAGGCTAAACTCGCTGTTGCGGGCGGCTTCGTTGCGGAAGTCGAGGGTGATGGGCCACATGCCGGGGAGGAGGGTATCGTTTTGGGTTCTTTCGAGGAAGCGTGTTACGCGGTCGGTTGCGTCGTAGTACTTGGGGTCACCGGTGATTTGCGACAGGCGGGTGAATTCGACGCAGAGGGAGGCCGGGGAGGCAGAAGGGTCGTTTGTGCCGGCGACCAGAGCGCCGGATTTGGCTTCTTTGTAGTTAAACCAGAAGCCTGGGAGATGGTTTGGGGTGTCGAACCCGTGGTAGAGCATCTCGGCCAGCTCGACGGCCTTGTTTAGTAGAACTTTGTCGCCGCTGAGGTCGTATGCGCTCAAGAGGCCGCCCAGATGGCGAATTGTCGTTTCGAATAGATTCGCGGCGTTGTCCTTTGTAACGGACCAGTCGATCCCGCTGACGGCTTTGACTGCCTCGCGGAACTCGTCTCGCAGGTCCATGATCCAGAGTGTGTCGAGGGCATCGACTAGAGTGGCAGCCCATCCGCCAAAGGGGTCCTTGAAGCCGCCCGACACGGGCATCAGCTCGTCCTTCATCCAGGCATATGTTCTGTATGCGTTGTAACTCTTCTTAAAAGTATCCCGCACAGCTCTCTGCCGCTTCTTTGTTTCGTCGTCGTGGGCAAAGGCGTCGTCGGGGGCTTGCACTCGTCCCAGCTTTCGCGGGGAGCCAGTCGGCATCGGTTTAATGGACTCTGGGGGGTAGAACAGCTTCGCCTTGGACCAATCGAATTTTAACCCGGGCGAGTCCTGTGATGGTGATTGGGGCGATTGGCCTCCAGGAGCGGGAGGGTTTTGTGATACCAGCGGCGAGGGGGCATCGTCGCCCGGCATCATGTGCATCACCAGCATTACGACCAGCACGAGGCCGGTGAGCAGGACGAGCCGCGACATTCTTCGAGGGAAAGCCATTGTGACGGCGGAGTTGGCATCTCAAGCTCTTGCACCGTGACAATGAAGTCGGGCAAGTCGAGGGCGTTTCAAAGAGCCTGTGCTTCATCTGGCATCTGTGTCAACCAAGGCCGGAGCCAGCCATATGCCAGGGGACGGGCTGGGGTTGGGGTTGGTTTATTAGTATTAGGTTGCATTTCGCCATCAGCATGTGGGTTCCACGAGGGCGTTTTTGTGGCGGATGGCGGTGGATTCGACTGGACATCGGACTATTTTAAGTAGTACTTAAGTAGGTACTTAATCAACTTAAAGCAGACGCCTCCCGTGACGTGCGTGGGAAACGCCGGGATGTACAAATGGACATGGATACCCCGTACCACAGTAGGTACCTGACATCCGGTCGATAAGGCACGGGTTCTTGCATTCTGTGTTTCGTAGTACTCTGTAACTACTCCGTGCTCTGTACCCCGTACTGCAAAGCACCAACACCAGACATCTTGCATCCTGAGACGCTGGACATGGCACCCGACACAAATGTCAGCAAATGCGCAAACTACCCGTTGTCTACTCCGTAGCCGAGGCAGCGTCATGGCCGCCGACGATAAAGATAAAGATGCATCCATGTATCCATGGCCTGCATCAAGGTCGTATCGCGGGCAGACGACTGAATGAGATGCCGAGTTATCCCCTCTATTTAAGCTTCCCCTCACTCGAGACTCTCGCGATTTCACTTCAACTCTTCCCCCACTGAATAGCAAGCCGCCATCACAGGATCCTCAAGTAGTTAGTTTGTATACATCGTCGTCTCTACACTCACAATGCCTGAGCAGCAACGACTTGCTTCCATCGGCGTAAGCACATGACTCCGTCCTCACTTCCACGCCCGTCGTTAATCATGACAGGCCAACGTCGATACCCGTCTCCCTCTTCACTGCAGCCTCCTCTTCCAAGCCAAAACCGCCAAGAACCTCACCTTTGCTCAGATTGCCGAACATCTTGGCCGCAGCGAAGTCGCCTGTGCTGGGATTTTCTACGGCCAGGTTCAAGCCTCTGCCGAAGATGTCGACAAACTGAGCGAGCTCCTCGGTGTAAGCCGCGATGACGTCGCCGAGCAGATGATGGCCTTTCCGAATCGCGGCATATCCGTGGAAATGCCGCCCACTGAGCCGCTCATTTATCGCCTTTATGAGGTTATCCAGAATTATGGCTATTCATACAAGGCAGTCATGAATGAGAAGTTTGGCGATGGCATCATGAGTGGTGTTTGTTTCAAGACAGACGTTGATAAGGAGGTGGACGAGACGGGGGCTACTTGGGCCGTCATCACCATGAAGGGGAAATGGTGAGTGGCAATTTCCGCCTTCATTCCACTGCCTGACCTTCATTGGCGACTTGTTATACTAATCTCTTGCATAGGTTGCCGTTTACCCGATTTTAAACAGTGCTATGCGGGACTTTGTTTCGACCTGGGACCAGAGCGCGTCGGTGCTAGAGAGCAGAATGTATGTATATCGAACACGCAGGACTTGCTATCTGGGCCGTATAATCTTGCTGTATTGTATTTGAGGAACGTGCCCTCTAGGACCAAGTGGGCTCATTATCAGTGATCACATTCGCTTGGTCTCAAATTCTCCGCAAACCACCCCACGACTGTTGCATATTTGACATTACACCAGAGAGACGGCTGCCAAACCTCTCACAAATATGTATTTGAATGCCATTATGGCAAGCTGTCGAACACTCATGAGTATGTAACTAGGGTTCATCTTAAATCCGCCATAGTGCGGTTGGCCTTGATGCATACTTGACGATATCCATTCGCTTCACTAACTCCCCCCCAGTGACCCGATTGTGTGCTAGTTCTCATTCCCATACTCACATGAGGAATTTCACCAAAAAAAAAAAAAAAAAAGACTTGAGCCAATTTTTCGAGATACGGTCGGCTCGTTTCCAAGGACAGCCATGAAAACCACTTCCTGTCTATACATGATACCACGCAAGTCATTGAAATAGTCTGTCCACGACCTCGCGGAACGAACGCGACACTTGGATTCCTCTCCCGCTCCCTTGACACACTTCTTCCCCACACCCAGGCCATCGCTGGCCATGCAGATCGAGGGGTTCAAAGTCAGGTCTAACTGCTTTTATCTCCTTCAACGGGCCGATGGAAACTCTGATGTTCTTCAGGAATACGGATACTACCAGGCGAGTGATGAGCCATCGCCGCTGCCTCTTGCGTCGTTCCGTCTCGTGGCGCATGAGCAAAGAAACCATACGGAACACGCTGACTCGGATTTCGTCCCTTAAAACCCTCTTGAAGTCCAAAAAGAAATATCGCCCCGGCCGAGAACAGGTACGACCTATTCAGACGGACTAGCGAGTTAGCCGGCGCCGGCCGAAGCAATCACGGTGCCTTGTTCTGGCAATGTCGCATGCAAATTCGAGCTTGAAATCGCCCGAAATTAGCTTAAATGAATGATCAAAACAAAGAACAATACACGCCTGGAGATAAGAGCTATGCAGCGAGAAACAACAGCCACGGCATTGTTATCATTCCATGGTAACGGTGAGACACACCTTAGACGCTAGAGAATGGAGAGACACGAACGCGACTGAAAGTGCATATCGAACCGCTTCGGCTTTTGTACGACGGCCTGTCCAACATGAGATGTATATAACCAGGAGGTAGGCGGGCATCCAGTTGCAAGCTTGGCGTTCTTAATTCCATCCTTCTCCTCTATTCTTCAAGTCGCTCCCTCATTCCGCTTCACATCTGTTTCTTCCACAGGTCACCAACTGCCGCCTCCTCCTTACATTAATTCACCACCAGGACCTCACCATTACACCATGAAGTTCATCTACGCGTCCCTCCTCTGCGCCGTGGTTTCGGCCGCCCCCGTCGCCGAGGTAAAGCGGCAGACGACCGGCGGCGCGACCGCCGAAGGCTTGTCCAAGGCCCTTCAAGCCACAACCGACTCCTTCAGGAAACTCACCGACGGCCTGGGTGGCCTCAGCGCCCTCGGCGGTGGCCTGGGGGCTTCGAAGCGCGACGAGACGCCAGCGGGAGATGTCACCGTCCGTCTTGACCAGCCCGCCGTTGATCTCAGCATTGGCGAAGGGAGCGGACTGGTCGGCAAGCGCCAACAGGGTCTGGGCTCGCTTTCGGTCCTTGCTCAGACAGCGTCGCATGCCGTGTTGAACGGCCTCGCAGGTGGCGTGCTGAAGCGGGATGGAAAGCAAGACCCGAGCAAGCGTCAGCTGGATACTAGTCTTCCTAACAAGGTTTTGAACGATGTAACTAGCGGCAAGGTGATGGAGGATCTGCCCAAGGTGCCTAACGTGCATATTGAGGCCTAGTTAAAGATGCGGATGCCGCAAGGAACTCATGACTGGTGGTATTTCACATGCGACATCCTGTTGGGACGGAGAGTGCCGTGCTTTCTGCGGTATCTCGGTATTTCAAAACCAGAAAGAGGACGGCTATTTGTGCTTCAAACGGAACAGGGCGATTCGGGGACATCAAGGCGAGGTATTTTGATCGAACATGTTAGGCGTTGAAGGATACGGGGTAGATACCGTTGAATAATAAACAAGAGGCTTTTTCACGCGGCTAGCCTGGGTATATCTGTGACGCCGATGTGTATTCGATTTCACTTGCGAAGGACATGCAAATGCGATATCAAGGAATTGATTCTGGCGATAGTCATCAAATTTGGCGTGACTGAACGAACAAGGCAAGGATTCGAAAAGATGCAGCAACGTGCTGTTATCTTCTATTACTACTGGGGAGTCGAACAGGGATAGCCATCTTGTCTCTGCAAATTTTTTGCCGTTACATACATAGTTACATACTCTCCAAATTAGCAGAAAAGATGGTGGCGTGAACTCAAAGCTGATAAGTGAGGCCTCGCCGAGGAATCCATGCCAAAAGCTTGCCAATTGGATCAATCCTGGCGGGAGTCTCAAGCGAATTCGGAACCCTGAAGTCATCTTCTCATTATTGCATCCAAGACAACTTACCTCTTACTATTAATGAACATCAGAAACCCAGCTTCAAATTCTCCGGTTGAATAGCCGAAATTTGTGCCCCTTGTCGTGGACAGAAGGGTTTTTCTTTTTTTACACCTGGACAAGGAATTACTACATGGTACCACACTCTTTTTTAGTACTACTACTATTGTTTCCCGTGACACACAATCAAGCACAGGGGTTGATGATCAGATCATTTGGAAGCACGGGCGCGTGGCCTCCCTGCCACCAACAAGAGGACAAGGTGGAGAGTGACGACGGGATGAATAAGTTGTTACACCATTGCCAATCTGACAAGGGCCAACTGGGTAGTACATATCTGGGTAATCATGTACCAGCACGGAGTACTCCTTAGTTCTCTCCCAAAGAAAACGCCAGGGTGCGCTGCTCCATGCGAATGTGATTTGACTCAGTTTATGACCAAAACCTGCCCTTTGTATCAGTCCATACTTCTGCTACGTACTCACATTGTCATGCTGCCAAATTTGTTGGTTATATATTGATGTGTGGAGTAGACAAATTAGCAAGCCTCTACACCGTACGCCGTAGACTCGTCAACCGCCCATTGTTTCTCACCAACTGCCGCCAGTCAGGCATCTGTCTTGTAACCGATCATGGATCCTCAGAAGCGAAAGTGCGATTGTGGAAATATGGTCCGTACCAAGCGTGCTTCGGCCAGCCTGCTGTAGGTCGTTGGTCAGGTCCGAGCTGGTGATTGTGATCATGGTCCTGGCCGTAGGACATCAGAAACAAGCAAATTACGCATTAGAATGCCCGCCTATATATCTGACCTGGTCATGATGTTCGGTCTCGGTTTCGATTGTTCAGTGTCTATCTGCTCACTAGCTCTTCCAGCCTCATCCCTTCGCTGAACAACAGTTGCATGCAGCGTCCATTTTCCTCGTGAATATCTCAAAATGAAGTTCATTGAAGTTCTTTCGTTATGTGCAGCTGCGGCTGCTGCACCACTCGCTGTAAGTCGCGTGGTAGTCTCATGCAGGTGACTCTGTCCCTCTACATGGCTAACGTCCACAAACACAGGATGTCGATGGTAAAGCCTCAGCTAATCCATCTGTTGCCACACCCTCTATGAGCGCTGTTCCCAGCAGCCCTATTCCGCAAGAGCTGCTAGTGAAGGCAGATGTCATTGCCAAAGCCAAGAAGATCATATCAGAGACTCATACTCTGGGCAACACGACGGGCTATGAAGGCGTTTCGGCATCCCACAGCAAGAGTGCATGGGCTGGCGTTGGCGCCGAAATCAAAGCCATCATCAACATCCTGGACAAGATTGGAGAAAACGGCAAACAGAATGACGAGTTGCTCAAGGATGAGCAACATCACATCTCCGTCGTTGTTGCCAAACTGAACGAGAAGCTTGACGTTGAGCCACAGCCTAAACCTCTTCAGGCCTGTGATAAACATGCCAACGCCACCTGGACACCTCAAGTCAGCAGCGTCGAGGTTGAGATCAAGAGTATTCTGTCTAAGCTCCAGAAGACCAAAGTCCAGGGCGAAGCTGTGGCTGTTCGTCAGGTCAACCTGCTCGTGCGGCTGCTGAGTCTGTTGACTGCAAAGGTGGAGGCTGAGATCAAGGCTGGTGCTATCCGCAACCGCGGTGTGCATATCGACGTTGAAGTTCATGAGCTCACATTGAGGCTTGCCAAAATTCTCACAATCAAGGCTGGCATCAACACTTGGAATCTCAAGAGCACCAACGCAAGTGCCAATGTCAATGTCGAGATTCATAGCGTTCTTGTGAAAGTGCTTGGTCTCTTGAGAGTAGAGGCTAATGGTGATGCCAAGGCTGGTGTCTCGCACAACCAAACCATCAGTGGGGATGTGAGCTCAGATGACAGCAAGATTCAGCTTCTTGAGGGTCTGCTGAAGGTCCTTGCCGAAGCTGATGTCGATGGCAAGGCCAAGACCGACGTCGATGTCAAGACCAAGGCTTAGGCTGTTCTGGTCTGAAATGGCGGAATCGACCTTTATGACAGCAGCTTGAAAATGACATCCGTGGCATATATCTGGAAGGGTGAAAATCAAAGGAGCAAAGGCATCTGCCAGTTCATACACCATTTGGCTGCATTGTGAGATGGCGAGACTGATATATTTTTAAATCGCCCTAATCGTGTAGGGTTGTGCTTAGAGGTATTTTTGCGTACATATAATGTCAATTTTGGACATCTACGAACCTCTTGTCAAAGTTGATACATGGACCATCCTTGCAACGCTCGGCTGAGTGACACTCAATTGAAGACACAGGTTGGAACTGAAGAAAAGTGCTGTAGTTAGCCAGTGTTATTGGAAGTTTAGTCAATCAACAGACCTTGTGAGTTCATGGTTGCATATGGCCTACGGTCACATCCAAAGTATGGCGAGGGCTGTTCGCGTTAGCTCTCGTTCCGGAATGTTTCTTCTTCCCAAAGTCGTATTTCGGCGCATTGAGTAGCCATTTGGGCAATGGATAATCGAGTATATATACCTCCTCCACGCAACACTTGCAGTTGAGGGGATATGCTATTTAAATTGTCCTGACAAGAGTGTTTGGTGGTGCATATTCTGACTGTGGTTCCGCCCTTTGGTTCTGACTGCGCAGAGCCAAGGTCTGTTAACGTGTCGGAGGGCTTCTCAAAAACCTCTATCCTTGGTCAATGGTGAAAAATTCGTCGCCAATAGTTCTCATCGACACCGAATTGCCATTCTTGACTGGTTGCTGACTCTTCCATAGTGTAGCTTGGCAAGTCAAGTGGCCCGAAGTCCATGACGATCGATGGCGGCCGAGGAGGCTGTTTCGACATGGCCCTGCGATGCTGGACAGGCATTTTTAACAAGACGCTTGTGGTGGGCGTGGATTCAAGTTCAGATACCAGAGGGGAAAAGGTTTTTGCAGATGCTCTGCTCGGCGGTAGGCAAAAGGTGCATTGAAAGGCCCGAGTTCTCTGTCGCGTGCTCCAAGAGGAAACGTCACTGGCGCCTTCTGGGGGTTGCGGTTGCCTTTGATCGTCTTCAGCTGTGGCTTCGCTGTAGGTACCCTAAGTGGCAGGCACTACTTTCTGGTTTTCCCATGGCTGCAAATAATATGATACTATGGTCTGTGACAGAATATGTTTACTCATTAATAAGTATGCATAAATGTACTTTAATATTTTATAGTGTAAAGCGCGATAGCCTAGTACCTGATTTAGTCTAATAGTCTACGTATTTTGCGACTCCCACTATATTTCGTACTGCCTAGTGCCTACAGGTACCTCAGTACGGAGTGCTCATCCGATTAATGCTAGCCCCGTTTTATCAGATAACCCTAACCCCAAGCCGTTTTGGTTCAAAGTCTCTGGTGCAGCAAAAGTGGATCTATCATGTTCTCTGCTCCACTAAACATTCATGTAATTTGATTGATCCTCCATCATTCTCGGGTGAGCCTCATCAGCAGCTCCCAACGCATCACATCACATGTTATGATATTGATCACTTTGCAAGCTTCCCCCCTCTTCTTCTTCTTACTGTTGTACCCAATTCCATCGTTTTTGCACTTCGTGTACACCCAAATCACATTATGGACGCTACTGCTCCCTCACACCCATACTACCCCCGGACGGCGTCCATACCGACCTATGTCGCCAATGAGTCGTCCGTGCTGCGACTCCTCATGACCTTTGGTCTCATGGTGGGCGTGGTGATAGGCCTGGCCTATTGGCAGACGATTCAGAGCCCATTACGCCTGCGTCCGATTGACCGCTTCGCCGTCATGTGGTTTGCCTTGTGTTGGTACTTCCCCAGCCGTGATGCCGTGTCTGTGTGCGTGCCAGCGTGTTGCGGAAATAAAGCTAACACCTGGCTTTCATAGGTGGATTCCTACATGTTGGATTTGAAGGTTGGTCGAAATGAGGCTGTCATGGAAGAAAAAGGGTCTTTGTTATTGTGTGCTAATGGCCAGTTTCAGGCTACTATGTGTACAACCGCACTAGCATCCCTGAGTTGCAGACTGTGTTTGGACAGCTGTGGAAGGAGTATACGCTCTCAGACTCTCGATATTTGACGTCTGATGTGTTTACCGTTTGTGTTGAGACCATTACCGCCGTAAGTTTCCAATCTGGCCGTCTCACTGCTTAACCCACATCGCCACTACTCCGTGCTTCCAAACAAGACACAATTCTTGCCCAATCGCAATCACCGTGAAATCCTCACCATCATATTTTGCTTACTCATGTGCATTAGTTGGCATGGGGCCCTCTCAGCTGGCTCACCTACTTCGCCATCCTGACCAACTCGCCTTACCGCCACATCAACCAAGTCATCGTATGCACGGCACACCTGTACGGCGTTGCCCTATACTACGGCACCAACTTGGGCGATTTTCGCACCACAGGGGTTTCGTATAGTCGGCCTGAGGCGCAATACTATTGGGTATATTATATTTGCCTTAATGCGCCTTGGGCCGTGGTACCATTCGGTATGTTGTTTCATTCAGATGGCTTATGCCACAGCAAACATGCGCGTAGCCCTCATGCAACCCCGGCGTGTTTTGGAGAAGGGAGATAAAGGAGAAGAAAAAGAAGTGACATGCGACTAATGGCGTGCCTCTAGTTTTCCTCTATGACAGCTATAAGCAGACGGCCAGGGCTTTCCGCGCTCTGCAGGCGCCGGAAGCCGAGCGCAAGGCGCAATAAAACACGGCTCGGCTTGTTGGACGTGGCTCTTTCAGGCGTTGTGTCGTTCCATGTATATTTGTGATACAATGTCATCTCTCCTTTTTTTTTTCAGACTCATGTATCATGGAGATTGCGAGCATGCGGACCCCCTTCCTAGGCATGGGCCTGAACTAGGGTTATCGGCCAGAATTTGGGCTGTTCAGGGGCAAATATCGAGTAGCCATGGCTGCCCAACAGCAAATGCTGCAACATCAATCAAGCATCAGACCATTTATTCCACGATGGTCCCATCGCCACCAGCCAGGTTACAACGACGACAATACAAGGCAAAAAAGAAGCAAAGTAGCCAACACGGCAACACATGCTGTCCTCCCTGCTCCCGCTGCAAAACCGCCTCACTGGCTCTGTCCCACCTCTCACACAAACACGCCTGCCAATGCCGTCAATAGCGACAACCGAATGTCTCGAGCGGCGTTGCTCACCCAGTCTATCGTGAAATACAACAATTGACCAAGTCTTGGATACACTTGCATGGCGCTTTATGATGTGGAAAGAAGTAAAAGAAAAGAAGTTCAACGAAGCTCCAAAACAAACCCGCGTGCAACTCGAGACCATTTCGCATTGCTAAGAGAAGCAAAGAGGGCGTGTTGTGGTGTGTTGCCATGTGCCGGCCCCACGAATCCACGACAACTGGCGAGGCCCCGGCTTGTACTCCGTATCGTGCATATAAATATGCAAGCCACCCTATTTAGAGGTGAGGCCTTGTAGTAGTATTGGTATTCTATATGTCACAAAACAAAAGTAAAGTCACGCCTCTACGGCTTTGACGGCGCGGTGCCTTGGAAGCGGCAGAAAGTGGCAAGTGGTCGTGTGTTGAGAGACATGCGTGCTGTGCATGTACCCGAGGTGCAGGTTCCAGCGTTTTCCCTTGAAAAACGTGCAGCATGTGATTTGTTGACTTTTTTTTTTTTTTTTTTTTTTTTTTGCTCTGGGTTCCATGGCATCGTGAAGGGGGGCATGTGGTGTTGCCAAGGGAGGTTTTGGCGAACCAGGACGAATAGAAGCCATTTTGTTTGCTGAGCAACAACACTTTGTCTGTATTTATTTTCTATCTAGGAGGACTCCGCAGCGTCAAAACTAGCGAATAAGGAGGGATGCAAAGGGAGACAGTAGAAAAAGAAAGAAAAAAAAACTATCAATCTATCTTTTAGGTAGTAGCAAGCCAACCACGTGAAATGTCCCTTCCCATGGACCAAGTCTGCAAAACTTGGTGCCAGAGTCGGCATGAATTTTTCCGGTTTGTGTACAGACTCAAACTCTCCATTACACACTGACGAGAAAACGCCTCTCTCTCTCTCTCTCTCACACACACACACACACACACACACACACCACTCGAATCATACTGGGTGCCGCAGGCTGGTCTGGGCTAAATGTCGTCCCTCCCCGTCAACCGGCACCGTCGTGCACCGAAAGCACAATCTTCAGACCCTTGGGTGCCGGACCCAATGGCAACGCCGACAAATCGAAATGCCTGCCGCCAAGGACATACTTCTCCCCATTGACCGTGACGCTCTCAATCTCGCGGCGCATCTGTCGAATCTGCAGCTTGGAAGGCAGAATGGCGGGGGCCCTGGAGAATTCATGGAACCGGTCGAGAAGGATCTCGCAGGCGCGCGTGACGATGACGACATAGTCCAGGCTACACCTATCCAGAACCATGAGCTCGCCGTAGGCCTTGGATTTGAGCGTCAGGATCACAGGGTACGTGGCACCGCCTAGGTACGAAAGCGGCGGCGGCACCATGGATGCAGGCTGGAATGCTCGAGCCGCAAGTGGCGGCGGCGGAGGAGGAGGAAGAGGACCATGCATCGCCATGTTGCATCGATTGGGCCAGCCCGGAGGGGGCACCGGGACAGTAGGTGTCACAAGATGCATCACGGGAACAGATCTTGCGCTGGCGGCGAAGCGCTCTGGCGATGCCGTCGTCGAGCCCGTCGAGGTGGGCGGCGTGAGAACCGGACCCGTGGGCTGGGAAGAGACGATGCTGCTCCGCGTTGACCTCGTCGAGGCGTCAGAGACGTTGCCCTCGTCGTCGCTATCCGAGGACGAATCCAGGCAGTCTTCATAGTTTGGGAAGGCCTTCCCCCGCCGGCTCTTGGCCTTCTTCCCGGGGCCCTCGCCGGCCTGGAACCCATTGACCTTGACGTAGCGCTGCACGGCGCGAGCGGATTCGTTGTGCATCTTTGTAAACACCTCCTGTACCGTGTTTCCCTCGGCGGAGAGCACACAGACCTGGCCTCGGGCGTCGTTTTGCACCAGGTAGCCTGCCCAGGGAGGCGAGTGCTCGGCATCCAAAGCCGTGATGATGTGTATTTTGGCATCACGGCCGAGATACATGCGGCAGTTGCCTGTATAAAGTGTAAGCTAAAGAAGAGTTCGAGACTGATTTCTTCCCCCGGACCAGTACTCAAATCCCGCCCAGTTTTGACCGTCTGAAGAACAAGTCAGGTACGCACTCTTGATCTGATCCTGGTAGCTTATACCAATCGTGCTTCCGGGAGCCATTGTGCCAGCAGACGAATCTTCAACCGAAAGAGAAGCAAAACAAGATGATGGCACCCGAACCATGAAGCATAAAGAGGTCAAGAAAAGGAGAGATTCTCCAGAAAAGAAATGTGAAGGGAGAGACGGGGACAAGGACGGGGCTCAGATATCAAATCAAAATGCATCGAGGACCAAGCAAGACACGCGGCGTCCAACAGGCTTAGGCCCAATATAAGACGACTTTGTGCATAAGTTTGCATGGCCACGTTCCCCCTTCTCCAACACGAGATCCTTCCTGGCCTTATTTATACCTCGACGTTTCTCCCGCAGCAACCCGGACGCCCGAGCACATAATGACGAAGGGGGGGAAGAAGAGGCAATCCTGTCCTTGTTCAGACTTGACCTCCAACCTCTTCTCTTTTCCTTCCCTTTGCCGTCGATTCTGTGTCACCACTTGTACCCTTGAAATGCTGAGACGGGTCCTACCTGCGCACCCCATGCCATGGATTCCCTTGGGACAGACACGAATTCGACATCGCGTCTTGCCTTGGTGTCATTGCTGGCCTGTATTATACCGGTGATGGAGGACAGAAGAGGTCCAATAACCAAACAAGGCAACCAATCGGGCCCCGGGCATTAAAGGAACAGGCATGCCAGAGATGTCACCCCCTTCCGGGGGGGCGGGCACTGACACGGGGGTCCGGAGGTCGACGAGGATCTTGGAAGTTGGGGGCGTGTGTGGTGGGCACGTTGGCCATTCTTCGGAACGGCTTGGACCATCCGGCTTATGGAGGTGCCATGATGGCAGATATGTACACCCGTTTCTGGCGAGGGCTATTTCCAAGTCTGGTTGTGTATGTGGCCACCCTCCAGCTCTGTGTTGTTGCGCCCAACAGACACATTCTGCCCTGCAATGGGAAAAACGATATTTAAAAACAAGCGCCAACAGGAAAAAAAAAGAAAAGGACACAGTACAGCATCATGAGCACCAAAAAGCCGCCATATTGGGGGGCTCAGGCCGGTCGTCGCCCCGGCTCACCGCAAGTATACACAAAACCATGCATGTTTGTGCCCAGCATCCCCTCCCCCATGATCAAATCAACAATCAATACGGGGTACGAGAGTAATCGTAATGCGCAATGCCTTTTCTCACCGTTCATACCGAGCCAAAAGTAAGCATCCTCTCTCTCTCTTTTCGACCCCAACTGCCACCGGCATTATTTCCGCTCGTTCCATCCCATCCGCCGAGTCCCGCCCCGACATCTGTCTCACGATCAACACCAGTTGACATCTATAACCCGTCCTTCACAAGGCGAGACACCTGGTAACTGCAGCCTTGACACATACTCCGTACTCCATACAATACAAGTGAATCAGGCGGCAATGCCCTTCAACCCAGCGCAGCCCGGGGCCAACAAGACAACGCAGCGTCTTTTCCACGTCAAGACGGGGTACGAAAATCCGTCCTGCAACGTCAAAAACTTCCCGTTGGCCTCGCATGCAGAATCCTGGGCTACATATGTACACATGGCTTGCTGGCCCGCCCGTGCAAGGATCGCCGCCCAGAGAACACCGCCCGCCAGCTCAGGCAAGTAGAATCAAATATGTACACAAATAACATGAAAACTAGCCACACCGTCCCCCCCTTTTCCTACTGTGTACTCCGTACGGAGTACCGCAGAGCAAATGTCTTGGATCGGTGGCGAACAAGAGCATCAAAACGTGGGCAGGCCTGCTCCTTGTTTACCCCAATCAATAGCTGTGCTGGCATTTTGGAAAAAAAGGGGGGGCAAAGGCGAGGGTTTGTAAAACAGGGCTGTAGACAACCGATTGGCTCACCAGCGCTTGTGTGCATAACCTTGACAGCCTCATCTTTATTTATGTACTTCCTCTTCCCCTTGTTCATCAGAGTCGAGACGGGGGCCATGTGGCTTCTACTCCGTACCATTATTAATTTGTTCCTCATGTTTTTAAATTATCGCCGCCCAAAATATGCCGACGCATCATCGGCCAGGCAAAGGGTAGTTTTTCATGGGCAGATCGTCTGCTGGTCGTGAGGGAAGACGGTTGGATGTGTTCCTTTGCATGAAGGGTGGTCGTGCTTTGGTGGCGAATCGCGGCCTTGCATAGGTCATCAATGGGAAACCTTTCTTGATGCAGCCCGGACCTTTCTTTTGCCTGACCTTCTGACCGCCGAGGGGGGCCAAATGGATGACTCGGATGTATGTAGAACTGCAAGCTGCGTCGTCTTGGATCCAGCTTCAAACCGCTACGTATGCACGTGTAGCTGTCGCTGCATCGTTGCCAGTGTCAAGTTTCACCGATTTCTTCATGACCATCCATGTGCTTCATGCCGTCGTCTTCATGCACACCAGAAAAGGTCCCGGGTCATGCATGACAGTTTAGACGTGTCCAACATGTTTCTGTCATATACTACAAAAAAAAAAAACATCAAAAATCTAATCCTACATGGCCGTCTGGAGTCGTTGTAGACGCATAGTCACCGCCTCAACCAACGCCGACTCTCTTGCTAGTAAGCCCTGAACCTGCTGCAGTTTTGACCGCCGAATGTCTTGAGGAATTCTGACGTCCCCCGTTGCCGCAACTTCGACTTCTCCTGACTTCTTTAGACTTTCCACCTCCGCAACGAGCTCTGTTTGCAGCGTCCTCACCTCCTCCAACCGTTTCCACAGCTGCTTCGACTGCTGAGCAGCGCTGTCTCCTTGTCCACCGCTTGGTCCCAAAACACTGGCCTCTAGACTCCTCACCTCGTCCACAAACGCGCGCTCCTTGGTGCTTAGGTCCCGCGTCGTAGCCTTCCCGACAATCTTTCGCAGATTATCTACACGCTTGGTGAGCCGCTCCTGCCGATCTCTCGCCTCGGCTATCCGCCGATCGTACATGGCGTTCTCAGCCTCACCCTCTCCATCTCCATCTGCCCCGTTGATGCTATCAATCTTGCCCTTGACTTCGTTTGCCTTTCTCACTTGCTGGTGTAGTTCTGATTGGAGCAACTCGCATCGCCTAAAAACTTCTGCCGCCGCTACCCCGAGTTTGTACGTCTCATCGCTTAGCACTTTGTGCGCATCCGTGAAGATCTGCAGCGTGAGCGGGCTGAGCCTCACTTCCTGGTTGACGATTGTCTTGTGACGCGATGTTCGTAGCCGCTCCAACAACGTCGGTAGAGCGGATCCCTCGTCGAATACATGGGGCGGGTTGTAGACTGGTCGTGGTTCGTAAAAGTCCAGCGGCGCCATGCTAACCTCCCGCTCCCGCACAGGGCTCTCTTGCTTGATTGGCGCGAGATCAACGTCTTGGGTTTCAAATGTCAGGGCCACAGGCTCGTAGGGCGTCGCCGAAAGAAGAAAGTAGCCCAGATCAGGATCTCTGATCGCAACGCATGCTGCAAGAGGCACGGCCACATCGGCACTTGGTTGCGCGTAGATCCTATCCCTAGTGGATTGCGAGTTGACCAATAGCCCGATTCTGAAGTCGGTACCAGCCTTGTGGTCCGCCAAAAGCTCGCCCTCGAGGCGGAAAACCCACGATGTAAGCGACACAAATGTAATGCCTGCGTGATGCGTAACAAAGAAACTGTACCTAGACATGGCGTCGTTGCTGAATACCGGCCATGAGTCCTCGCTTATCTCAATAGGGCTCATCGTATCAATGGCTTGGAAGGCAAGGAGTGAGGGAGGGCTGCTCGGTGTCGGTAAACGCCCAAGTTTTGCTTTGTTCCTGGGCGGGAGCCACTGTGCCTGGATTCCTTCGAGATCCAGGTACACCCTAACCTGACCGCTTGCAGAGAGTAGACAAACAACAGGTAGCGAGAGGCCCTCCTGGTCGCCATCATCCAGGTCGAGGTCTTCATCTTCTCCCAACATGAGCTCATCAGTGTCAGTCTTTTTCCCAATCACCAAAATGTCAGTAATGGTAGTATCCAAGTCATCACCAGTCTCGGGGTCAGATTCAAGCCAGAAGGGTCCCTGTAGTCGAGGAACAACGCCTGGCTGAGTTGGTCTTGTAAAGACCTCGACAATAGGCTCTCCCGGCAGACTTTCAAGGACCTGAGGTTCCTGCGCATCCAGTTCACCCATCCACTGCAGCTGTTGCTGAGCGAGCAGTTTCTCGTTCTCGTCAACTGCAGGATCGTCTTCAATACTGGCGACGGTTGTGACAATAGAAACAGACAGAGATGGAATCAATGTCGGCGGGGGAGCCCATCTCTGGGGGAGCAATGGACAAAGAGCATAGACATCCCCTTCTCGCATGGCTACCCAAAGAGTCATGGGATTCCAGCCTCCTGAACCCTTGGTTGCAAAGCTTGCCGCGGATACCTCCATCTCAAATGAATCTGGCGAGAAGGCCTTGTTTGTTGTCGAACTTGACGCGGAAAAGTCCTGATCCAGAGTAGTACCATCCACAAGCTTCTTGAGGTCTACCGAAGTCGTCGGCGAGTCAAACGACCAGCGGTCCTGAGTTGATAACTCCCAAATTCGAACAATCGCATCCGCCGTGACGGTGACAACACAAGAGCCATTAACTCCTAAAGGATGCCACAGAACTGACATGATGGGGGCTCGTGAAGTTACATGTGTGGTCGGGCCGAGGGTGTAAATCTTGGGTCGTAAAGGAGAGGTATCCTCGCTCGTCAAATGCGACGAGTCGGGTATGGCGCAAATATGAACTGTATGTGTCGTGAGAATGGCCAAGTAATTTGAGTTTGGCGATATGATTAATTGTCGGATTTCATCGGCTACTGGAGTTTTAATGATCTTTTGACGGATTAGCAACGTTAGCAACACGGAGTCTGTTAAAAGATTCGGTGTCGTAGGGGCCAAGCGGTGACGACATACCCTCAACCCAGGCGCAGCATCCATCTCTCCGTCGTCAATTGACTGTATGGAATCTTCTCTTTTGATGCGAGCTCCGGCAGAGCGAGTTCCCGTTCTCCCTCTTGGCTGTCTAGTTGACCATTCATCCTTAAGGTAGGCCAGATCAGCCCATCGAATTTCCTTGCCTACAGCAACAAAGACCTCAGTCCCCCGACGGGCAATCGTTCTCCTAGGACCGAGGGTCGACCTGGTCTTGGAGGGTGGCGACAGAGCCCGCGATCGGATCGCCTCAGCGGAAGGCTCAAATAGCTGGCGGCCCGGCGCATTGTTGTTGGACAGCCATGCCGACGAGTACGACTTGACCTTGGGCATCGTAGGTCGTGAAGGCGGCCCTCTGTAAAACAAAGCAACACAGGGGCTTCGAGACTCGGCGGGAACGATGAATCAAGGCGGAGCTGCAGCTTCGGTTGCCTCTTCAGCAGGCGCCGCTGCGGTTAAGCTCGGGCTTTGGGCAAGCAAAAAGTCAAATCTTGGTAAAGGGAGAGCTCCGATTGAGAGCACAAAAAAAGTTGACGCTGAACAAGGGAAGTACTAGTAACTTGATAAGTGGCCGAGAAAAGCGCGAAATGGTTAGCGCGCGTTTGCTGGCTGGTCTGTCGCAGGTCTCCACTTTGAATTCAAGGCCAAACCCTGACGACGGCGGGCCATGCGGCAGCCGAACAGGCAGCAACAAACTCATATATAACATGCATATTTGCTGGATAAGTAAATAAATATTAAAGATATTTTTCTTCAAATTCTTACATCCCGTTGACCACTAGAGACCTTTGTAGCGTGAAAGCTGATGCCGCAAACCGGGCCCATGCCAGCATTGAACTGAACGATAGCCGGCTTTCACAGAGCCTCAAAGGGGTCGAGGCTGCCTTCTCCAGTCTGCAGTTCAACATGAAGAAGGGCATATTTCAAAAACCTTGAAGTGAAATAATTAGATTGCGACTAGCAGAAGCTATTTATTAAATCATCTCCCGCCATCCCAATGCCACCACTGGTGATGGTCTTGCAACACATTGCCTGTCTTTCCCATTATAGCAAGAGATGTGGGTCCAGGACCCTCGACCAAGGACTCGACCAACCTCAGGCTTTCGCCCAACCTCGAATGTAAATTACCATGATAGTTCTGGCACCTCGCGCAACGTAGTCACCGGACAGCCCGATTGCGCCTTCAGACACCCTCATCATCTCTATACATCACACAAGGGTTCTCCATCAGTGCGAACCTCAAAATGCGTCACGACACCAGAAGCACAGTCGACCGCCTCGACCGCCCCAGCGCATACTACAACAGCAGAGTTCGTCGCCTTCTCGCCTCCCACCTCTCACCAGCTAACCATTTAGCCAGAACAAGCGCAGACGCGACCGGGATGACGACACCGCTAACGGAGATGCCCCCGCCGAACCACCTGTCGACCCTCTGGCCAACGCAACTACTCTCTACGTCGGCAACCTCTCCTTTTACACGACTGAAGAGCAGGTCTACGAGCTCTTTTCCAAATGCGGCGAGATCAAACGTCTCGTCATGGGGCTAGACCGCTTTCAAAAGACACCCTGCGGATTCTGCTTTGTCGAATACTACACACACCAGGATGCCCTGGACTGCATGAAGTACATTGGCGGTACGAAACTCGACGAACGCATCATCCGAACAGATTTGGATCCTGGGTTTGAAGAGGGCAGGCAGTATGGAAGGGGCAAGAGTGGTGGACAGGTGAGAGATGAGTATCGAGAGGACTTTGACGAGGGGCGAGGTGGTATTGGCCGAGCTTTGCAGAGGGACTATGAGGAAGAGGATCGGTATAGGTAATGCTTGGGAGGGAGAGAAATGGTATTGAGTGGCATATATTGATACCCGGTAGAAGGGCTTATGTAAAATTCAACACGATCATGATTTGCAGCGGACCACACCACGGGCTGGTCGGCGTTGGCACCGCGAAGCAGCGTAACTTGCATGTTTAACTTTGTAGTGATTTGACCGAAAATTATAGACAAAGGCGCCGTTCTAATGATACAAGTACATTGTCTCTGCAATGTAGTTCTTTCCACAGTTCTATACATCAGCCAGCATCTGCTCATGATCTGACCATCTTCCAACCCAACCCAATCGGATTCCACAGTGTTGATACAAGGCAATTCAATCCCCAACCCTTGATTTCCCACCCTTCCCAGCGTTCGTGTCCCCCCCTCACATCTATAATCGATCGAGAGTAGAACTTCTTAATAACCGGGGGGGTTGACTCTCTGCGACACCCTCGTCCACTTGGGCAATTCTACAACGGAAAACGTTAGCCAAATCCTCTCCTACCTCTAGAGCAGAGAAACATACTGTGAATCCCCTTCCTGTACCGCTTCGCCTTGCGGTCAAACAAGGTATATTTATCCTTGGGCAGCATCTCCGCCTCAGTCGGCATCTCGGCCTTCCACCGCTCCAACGCCTCCAGCGTCTGTCCCTTCTTTGCAAGAGCCGAATCCAGCGTGGCCACGACGCTATCCACCGCACGGAGCCGTAGCCTGTGTCTGCGCTTCTGGAACCTCGACAGGCGCCAGGGGATTTTCCACAGCAGGCCGCCCGACAGCGGGTTTGTTATTCTGAACGGGCCGAACATGGCGGGTCTGTCTCCTCAATCGGTACTTTCTCAGCGGTATCTAGCCGTGTTTTTTCTTCGGGTTCGTGGGGAGGTGTTTGCGCAGGACTCAATCGACGCCTACTGAAGATGGCGGCGGAAACTTTTCAGCCGAGCCGTATGAAGCTGCCCGCTCGCTGCGACTGTGGAGCGGAATAATTGCGGCTCCCGCTGGACACTGGCACACACCCGCCCCGCCTGCAGCAGCAAGGGCCAAACACCACCAGACACCAGCTTCAATTGACTCCCTTGCCGTCGATGGTAGTCGACGCGACAGAGAGCTCCCCCAATCCGCCGTTTTCTTCGCGCCGGCTTCGCGAATGACCCCCGTCCGTCATGAGCTACTACTTCGCCATTGTCGGCGCCCAGGACAACCCCCTCTTTGAGTACGAATTCGGCACGTCCAAGCAGGGCGGCGATGGACAGTCCCGATTCTCGGATCAGCTCCGCCACTTGAACCAGTTCATTCTGCATTCGAGTTTAGATATAGCCGAGGAGGTGCAATGGGCACAAGGACAAATGTACGGTCCCCCCCTCGAGTCCACAAGGGAGAGGAACGCAACATGCGCAAATACGGGCTGTCGCCTTTCTTTCGTCTTGCAGCCGCTGATGGATGGAAACAGGTACCTGAAATGTATTGACAGATTCTTCAACAACTACATATCGTGTTTCGTCACCGGCGCCAACGTCAAATTCCTCCTGCTCCATCAACCCACCATGCCCACGTCCACGAGCTCGTCGCGATCATCGACTGCTATTGGCGCCAACCCGACGAGTCCAGCGACGGAAGAGGCTATCAAGATGTTCTTCACCGAGGTCTATGACAACTGGGTAAAGGCTGTCATGAATCCGTTTTACAGGGCAAATACAGAGGTCACGAGTCCCGTGTTTAGGGCGAGAGTTGCGGCAGCAGGGCGGAAGTATCTGTAGTTTTAGTACACGTAGGGTGCTGTTTGCACGGGCTATGAGACCATGATACCCACGGTAAATCAATCAAGACTCGATTATTGGCAATTTTAGGCAGCAACACACGGCTCAAGAGCAATTTTTCGCTCAACGTTTTGAACATGGCACAGACGATTATTGGAAATTTTAATGTGGTATTCATCTTAAAAGGTCGTCCATCTGCCTGTCGGGACGCCTGCATGATTTCTCGTAAACCCAGTTGGTCTCCCCCAACGCCAAAAAGCAAAGTACAGAGTTCCCATGTCGCAACCCACCGAAACCTTCCTCCACCCGGTTTCCCAGTCCTGCCCAATTCCAATTCTGCCTGCCATGCCCATGTAGTGTATGATGTACAGAAGCCAGGCCAATATAATGTGAACGTAAAGCCAGAAACGGAGGCATAAAGCGATATTTAACCACCGAAACCGTACAGGGTGCGACCCTGTCGCTTCAGAGCATAGACAACGTCGAGAGAAGTGACGGTCTTGCGCTTGGCGTGCTCAGTGTAGGTGACGGCGTCGCGGATGACACCCTCGAGGAAAGTCTTGAGAACAGTACGGGTTTCTTCGTAGATCATAGCGGAAATACGCTTGACACCACCACGACGAGCGAGACGTCGGATAGCGGGCTTGGTGATACCCTGGATGTTGTCACGAAGAATCTTTCGGTGACGCTTGGCACCGCCCTTGCCGAGACCCTTGCCGCCCTTGCCGCCTGTTGGAGATGTCTGTTAGCACGGGTGCAAGTGATTTAGGCGATGGTCCATGATGCTTTTGAACCCCGGTCGTGCAGATAGGTCTCTTCATGATGAAAGTCTGAAGCCATTCAACCGAGTCCTTGCAGGCCCCGAAGTCTTGCGGAACTTGTTGGGCAAGGATGCAGGCTTCAGAAGCATCAAATGAAACTCCATAAATCAAAAATAGAAAAGTCACTTACGTCCAGTCATATTGATAGATGTAGATGTGAGGTCTTGGAGATGTATCTAGACGTGTCGCGTTGTCGCGTTGATGACGTTGAGTCAAATGCAAAGTAGAGTGTAAAGTGAGAGAGGGTGTGCGTAAGAAGGAAATCAGAAGCGGGGAGACCAACGGGGGGCGCGCGAGGGGGGGGGCAAGATAAATACGTGGACGGAATCAGTCACGCTGGCCGAGCCGCGCGCCCGAGGGACTTTCAAAACACAGATCAGTAACGTGGAGAACAGGTGGGAAAACAGCGAAAATGCGCCGTGTTATTTTCCCTTTCCTGGGGCCAATTCGGGAAATGTGTTTGGCGCTAGTCCTGATATGGGGTGGGCGTGTGTCTGCGCTCTGTCAAGTTGCAGTGACTTTGGGTGCATGGGTGCATGGGCTGACCGCAAGTACCTGCTGATTTGCGAATTTAATCAGCCATGTACTCCTCGCTCCTTGCCTCTTCATGTGTGTACCTCTGTTATTGCGGAGGCGACCAAGCATCGCCCTATGCTGCATGTGGGGCTGCACCTGAGTGATCTGGCTCCCGAAATTGGGTGACTGATCTGGAGCCTGCAGCGAACCCGTCAGCTGCACGCGTACTAGGTACCAGAGCACTCCCTCCTAGGGAGCTTGGGAGGTGCGCGACAAGCCACATGCGACGCCACAGCGTTTCTTAGCGTAAGCTCGCAGCCGCAAGTCAATGCTCCTACTCCGTGCGCTGCCTGTGAAATTATCATCAGTTGTACGGAGCACCTACAGAGCACCCCGTAGTCCCTGGAATACGTAGCACCAGCCGCACAGCAGAATCGGCAGCTGCGCGGGAACAAGGTGGCAGAAGAGCCAGGGAATGACAACGGTCCTTCAATATTGACCTTGGGTCATACCATCGACCGCCTGCGGGCTAGCTCGGCAACCGTAGTCTTTTCCCTCTATCCGCTGGGCATGACAATTTGCTTTCTACAAAGGCCAGGTCTCATCGAAACGTTTCATCATTGCGGTCGAGACTTGTTCGGCGATCAACGACAGCTTTGGTTGTTCTCTTTAGGTGCTTGGTTTTCCTGTTCTGAGCGAGCTCCTAGGGATCAGACCTTGCTTTTCGACATGTATTTTATGGCATCCTAGCTTCTTCTACTTTTTTATGTTGTTTTTTAACTTCATCTAAATAATCGTTCAAGTATCATGCAAGCATTGCATCTGGGAAACACAATATATTAGACGTACTAAGGCCAGGGAACCGTAAATACCACGTAATACACACACATCGCGATACGCCAGGCGCCGGCAAAGATGGTCTCACCGGCTTCTTCTACGCTAAGCATTGATAAACCCTCGACTGGGCGCACGCTCTTGGCAACAATGTACAATTCGATGCTATATACCATACCGCATTTATTAATACACACAACAACCGGTAACCCAAACCCGTCTCCTGTCCACTCAGCGCCAGTCCCTATCCAAGCCGACTTGCTATGACTCCTGCCTAACTAAAAGTTGAAAGCGCCAAAAAGCAAAAGTTCACAACGCCAGTGCCATGCCGTATCATGCCATGCAACATGTTCATCCCAATCCGTATGCCCCGCTGCCACGAGCTGCGCCAGCTTTCTATTCCAACTTGCAGCTTCATTTCCTTTGGCTTCCTATCCATTGCACGGGCAGAATTCGATGGATGCCGTCGTCGCCGTTGTCCTCGATAAAAGCTCCTGAGTAGAACGCCGCTGCTTTTGCCCATGACTACGTTTGTGACTTGCCCAGAGAAACCGTTGGTAAGCCTCAGTTCGATTACTCGTGACATCATGCCATCATTGAATCATCCATCGGTACATCTTCTTCAAAACTTTCAATTGCTTCTTTAATCTTTGGTCCAGCCTAAAAAAGTCATGTCAGAAAACAACCGGCTACAACGGGGAAAAAATAATGTAAAAAAAAGACACAGGGGGCAAGTGCTCACCTTCGGATCCAGCGCTAGGGCAATGGTAAAGTGTCGAACGGCCAACTGCCTCTCATTCGTACTCCTATACAGAGTTCCAAGCAGGAAGTGAACAGTAGCCTCATCAGGAGCCAGGTCTTTCAAAATCATGAGTTCCTTTTGCGCTGCTTCAATCTGCCCAACAGTAAGCAAAGCTCGGGCCTTCTTGTACCGAGTTTGTGCTGCTCTTGGCGCCAGCTCTGCCGCCTTCGTGTAAGCATGTAATGCTTGTACCATCTGCTTTTGCTTCTCTAGAACACCTCCCATGCAGCAAATCAGTACAGCATTATTAGGGTTGATAGTTTGTGCTGCGTAATAATGGTCGTAGGCTTTCTCATAGGCGCCAAGTCGCTCCTGGACTCTGCCGATGCCATAATATGCGTTGTAGTGCCTTCTGTCAGCAGCAATGGCCTGGCGATACGCCGTGAGGGCCTTGTCATACTCTTCGTTGGTAACGTGTTCGTGGCCTTGAAGTGTAAAGGCGTATGCAAACTTGGGGTCCAGTTGAGTAGCTCGTTTGAAGCAACGAAGCGCTTGTTCGGGGTCTCGTGCTAAAGACCAAGCATTGCCCAATGCACACCAAGCCTGTGGCGAGTGCCATGCCGAGTCGACCAGTTCATGCGCCAGGAAGGAGAGATCGGTTTCTCGTTTCAGGTGCCACAGTATGGTCGAGTACACTTCCATGTCCTGGAGGCGAGATGGGGCCTGTACTCGCATTCTGCGGAAGAATTTTTCCGCTTCCGCGTATGCTGCTTGCTCGTAGTGAGAGCGGCCCAGCTGGGAGAGGACCCATGGGGTCCCCTGTTGGGCAGATGGAAGGGAGCTGAAGGCCTGAATCGCATCCTGGCATTGAAACCTTGAAAGAGCGTAGTAGCCATTGCCCAGCTTTTTCATAAGATCCAGGGTCCACTTAAGCGCTTCTTCGACCTTGACAGTATCCGACTCTATTGTTTTGGACGGCGCTGGCGGTGGCGCTGGTTCCCTTGTTCTTGAGGACTCTCCGTGATCTATGTCGGCTTGGTCATCCACAGGTTTTCTATTTCCACTCACAACTCTGCCGACGCTGGAACCACTGGAACCTGGTCGCATGATGCGTGACACCGGGGGCCTAGCCTTCTTTAACTCACGCCCAGCCGACGTGCCTATTGTCGCTGCCCCAGAGTTAGCTTTTGTAGACGGCTTAAACATGTTAAGCCTAGCACTCCGTCTAGTCATATGCTCGTCCGTGTTTGTCGATCTCGGGACTGGGTGACCTGACAAGGTACGCTTTCTTTCAGTTGCGGCTATATGCCCAGCTCTGGTACTAGTCGTTGTTGCTGTTGCGGTTGCTATCGCTGGACCATCAGGCACAGTCTCCACGGCATGCTGCTCCTGGCCAGGTCTGCCGTTCCTCTTCGTCCCTAGTCTGTAGCTCATACGTGGCGGTGCATCCAATCCAGCATCAATGCCTTGAGCATTCCTAGTTCGCCTCGCAGGCGCCTGAGGTGGTTCCTGACCATATATGGGCCGAGTTGCTGTTGCATCAGACAGAGTTGAGAGCCCTGTCGGGGTTTCCATCCCTTCTACAATCGATGGGGGTTGGATATTCGCAGATGCTGCGAGTCGTAATCGAGCACTCTGGATCTTAGACATGAAGTCGTTTTCCGGAGCCTCGGTAAACATGTCTACTACCGGGCTGCTCATTTCCGTAGATGAGAAGCCGATACTGAAAGGATCTGATCCCAAATCCGCAGGCATATTCCTCGCGGTTGATCGTTTCAACGACACCGCATCCACCGGTATTCCAGCTGACGCTGACGCTTCTCTCAGATGATCTATAACGCCTATACCGATGTCTGAATCGAAGCTCTGAAGCAAGCTCTCATTTGATCTAAAAATATTGGGAACGCGAACATTAATGCCCATGTCGCAAAGGGCCGTAAACGCATCCCACATAAAGGGATTTTTCTTAAGCGAGTCCTCAAAACAGCTCACAGCCTTCTTCTTATCTCCGTAACCGCGGTGCAGCTTTCCAAGCAAGCAAAGAAGAGCAGGAGTGTCCGAAAATGCTGCTCGCGTTGTAGCCGTGTGTTTCCCAAGGCTGCATTTCTGTGGCCATAGAGACTTGGACTTCTCAAGGGCCACGATACCATCCTTGTATCGTTCCAGCGCTAGACACGCCTGAGCGAAAACCCAAGTACACCCCAGGTTGACCCCTCGGTATCCCATGGGTTTCGATATATCATACGCAGACCGGTAGTCACCCAGCCGCAGATGAGAAAGCGAATAGAGATATGCAGCATCAGTTGCTTTGGGATCTTGGGCGGCAAATCGCTCGGCAAAAAACAGCGCGTTGTCGTAGGAGGCATTGTCAAGATGATAATAAATCACCTGTCGCAGGAGGCCCCCAACGGCCGCCGGGTTTGGCGCCATTCCGGGTCAGGCCACGCTCCTGGGTGAACGAAACAGAGGGGCTCGTCAGGCAATTGCCAATCGGTGGAAGAATTATCAAGATGAGGGTGCCATGGGGAGCCGCCGACCTGAGGCGGATATCCAGGCACTTTGGACGCGAACAATTGGGCCCTGTGGGCGTAATCGAAATAGAGAGCTACCCGATATCGAAATTTCGACCCTGTCTGCTGGCTCGTGAGGCGCAACGGCTACGTCGTCAGTCGTGGTTGTCGTCGAGATAACGGTGGTGTTTTGTTGTTGTGAACAAGATGCACAACCGCTCCACCAAAATAAACGCCGGCAGCGAAAGGTCGTCGTACTTCGCACCCTCAGGAACGGGCAGTGAGAAGCCAAAATTGGTTCAGAGATATCGACAGAGGCACGCTGGATCGTCAAAGCCTGGAAATAAAGAGTCGGCAGGCAAGGCGAGAAAATTCCGATGGCCTTGGGTCGAGTATTGATGAGCTCAAAACGGTGGGTCCCCGGCCAACGCCTTCTAGGTTCAGGACTTTTAGGCGTGCGGTGCGTGCGAGGGACGATTCCGGCGACAATACATGACAGCGCAAGGGAGAGAGGGCTTCGTAATACGAGACGAAAAAAAAATTGAAGGAGCGTGAGTCGCAGCAGGCCCTCAAGCTTGATCAAAGCTATTCCCGCTCTCGCCGAGCCGGGTGCGCAGGTCTGTTAGTAAAATAGCCACGGCGCTGATGAGCGACGGAACGCAGGAGGCAAAGTCCAGTGGTGGGAGCAACAGATGACATCTGGATGAGGTGAGCAGCCGGCCAAGCAACCAGCCTCGCCTCCAGGTTGCCCAAAAGGCGCGCAGTTGCTGTGGTGGCAGCCGCTTGATTGGATGAGAGGCGCTGCAGCGTTGCTTGCCCGGCAACAGAGGCAAGCTGTGGATCCCTCCTTCCTTGCCTCAAGGTCTTGCCGCCCGCAGTGAGGCTGTTGGGGGCCGCCACAGCCTGGCGCCTAGGCAGGTACGATGCCCCATCACCCATCACGCCAGGTGGTTTCTGGCTGGTATGCAAAATTGCAGAATCGACATCATCAACCTCTCCAAAATTCCTCGGCCCACAAACCCGACGACATCTCTTATCTATCGCCACCTATATTTCTCACGCTCACTCCCAATCGCCTTCATTACAGCTTTTCCGCAGCCCCTCCTCTAAGGATAGTACCCGTCTATCTCACTCTCTCGCGCGCACACTCGTGGACCGGCATAATGGCGCAAAAGGCAAAAAAAGACCGAGCCAAATCCAACTCATCAGCCCTCAACACCCTTCACATCGGCTCTCTGACCGTCAACGTGCTCTTTTTACTGTCGCATTTTCTCTTCCGTTCTCGCTCCCTCGTGGCCTACGGGCTATTCATCACACCTAGCATCATATGCGAGTACGTTCTGGAGATATCAGGCCGCCCCAAGTATGACGCCGCCACGGGAGCTCTCAAGACTGCTGGGGAGGACCTCTCTAACCCTGGCTTGACCGAGTACATGTTTGACGTTGTTTGGGTGACATGGGCATCTGCCATTGTCGTCATGTTGTTCGGCAATTGGGGATGGCTGTTGTGGACAGTAGTCCCGGCCTATGGTGTATATCTGGGCTCGGGGCTGTTGGGCATGGGCAAGCAGAAGATGGCGGAGATGCAGGGCGGAAATGGTAGTACGGCTGCTCCTCAGGGCAACCGGAGAGCACGGAGGGCTGCTTAAGGGAAAGGAAATATGTAAATGTAAATGTGACAAAAGACGACTTGAAAGGCTGTCCTCTCAAAATGCCATCCGCGGCTTGTCAATGACTCTAGCGCCCTCACGCGGCCAGACTCTATCGCCAGCTCTATTCTTCGACTCAAGTAGACAGGCGTCATACTCAAGAGTGCAAGTATATACAACAGGCCCGTCAGAAATTTCGCCTCGGTCTCTCCCCCGACCACCGCTCCAACATATCATCGTCCACATCCCTCACCAAGACGTGAATGTGCTCTAGCGCCCTTACACTCTGCAAGGCAACCCAATTTTTAAACCAAAGAACCTTGTCCTCGCCCCCCTCACCCAACGAGTCAATAAAATATCTCTTCACAAACGCCTTCACCAAAGCTCTACTCTCGGGCGTCATATCCCCCTTATCGTCATCCGTCGCAATAAACGTACGCGTCCACACCACTATGTGTGTAATGTTGGACTCCAGCCCATATGGCCAGTCATTCAAGAGGACCTTGTAGTCCGACTCCTTGTCGAACGGGACATCAGACTCTGGCGAGAAGGGAGGCTGCCCCCACGACTTGGGTAGTCGGTTGGCGAGGAGGTACTGCGTCATGCTGCCGTACTGGGCCTTGGTCTCAGTTGTCCATTTTATGTAGCGCTTCAGATCTGAGGGGACGCGTTTAAGCACGGAGAGATTGTTGGTCTCTATGGCCGAATCAGCAAAGCCCTGGAATAGTTCTTGTTCGCCTGGTGAAGAGGGACGTGGTTCGCCATACCGATCACTTGCTTCAAGTCTTCCCAGTCGTGCTTTTGAAACTCGTCATCCGTCTGCGAAAGCACCCACTTGTCAACGTCTGTGAGAGGAAACGACGCTTCCTCCCTCTGGCTGTTGGCTACATTGTCGCCCATTTTTCTCCGTTCAGCGCTGTCTGGGTTCTGAAGACGCTGTGGGCGGAATAGTACAGTGGCCGCCCACCCAGCCGAAAAAAGCCGGAGTGTGTGTACGCGAAGGGTAGATGACCGTGTCAATGCTCACACATGTCCGTGAATTGAAACGATGCCCTTGTACGGAGTATTCACGGCCGCCCACGCATGCCAGCCTTGCTGAAGTCAGCGGTGAAAGTGCGCGGCGTCGTGCCCCAGGCCGTATTACCTAATGTCAACGGCATTAATGCGTCTTGATCCAAACATTGAAGAAACCACGACTAGTGCTGTTTCATCGGCATTCAACGCCCAAAGGCTTGACACTAAGTCGAGGCGAAATTACTCCCAAAACTTGGAAGCTAGTAGGAACTTATTCACTCGGGCACGTTATTTCCAGGGTGGTCTGGATCGGGGAGCTATAGTCGGCACCAACAAAAGTACAGCTGGTGTCCCGCTACGGCGTCACTAATCGACCTCGTTGCGCCGACGGTCCAATGTCCTCAAGCTCTCCTCCGACAAACATGTGACTGACTGTTGGTCTCAATGCTCTTTTTGCCAGCCTAGGGCTTTGAATAAACATCAAACAGCCATGGTCCCTTGGTGTTCCCTCATTGTTTTGATAAATTGACAATTCTTCACGTCTCGAATAAACACCCAGCACAGCAGGCCAGGGCCCTGAATTACGGCCGCCGTTACAAATTACAATGATCCTCGGCCCCGTTTCCCTCCTAGACTGCGTGGTCGCCGGAATCATAATCGCGCCCCAAATGCTCTTCACGGTCGGTCCTTTGGTTACTTTGACGGTTGTCATCAGAATTCTGCCGTTTCTTTGTGAGTTCCGTCACAGATCCTCCCAACTGTGTGTTTCTCTGGTGTGCCTCCGATCTGACCACGTCCAACAAAAAGTATTCAAACTCCCCTTTCATTTTCTCGCTCGATACGTCAAGCCTCGCTATGCACAGCCGTGGTTTATTGCCGAGTCCACTGTTTTTGAGGACATGGTGATTCGAATCGTCAGATTTGGATTCATGAATCTTCCCGTCAGGGCGGCCAGGGTCCTCTTTTCGAAACAGTTTGCATATCCGTTCTTGAAATGGAGGATGTTCAGGAGCGGTCATTTTAGCTTTCCTGCCCACTTGCAGGAGACGGTCATTGAGCAGGTAAACTTTCCGAGGCTTGATGTACACTGATTGTTTAAAAAAAATGTTGATTGATAGACAGGGCAATACATCTGCCGCGGGTCTTTGGATAAAGCATGATCCGGAGCAGGAACCCGATGTGGTGGTCTACTACATTCATGGTATGTAGAACTCACAACATCCAGGATACTAAATCCATTGCCGGAATATGTATGCTAAATTGCCTCTATGCTGACCAAGCACCTAGGTGGCGGTTTTGCGCTGGGCTCATGTTACTTTTACTTGGAGTTTTTACTATCGATGCATCACTTGCTCCTAAAATCTGGTTTTGAGAGTCCAGCTATTTTTGCCTTAGAATACTCACTCGCACCCGAGGAAACGCACCCGACTCAGGTCAACCAGGCCGTCCTTGGATACAGGCACGTTTTGGAAGACGTCAAAGACGCATCCAAGGTGTGCATCGCTGGAGACTCAGCCGGCGGGACTTTGACACTCAGTCTTCTTTTAGAGCTAGGGAAGAAAACGAATGAATTTCAACTGAACGGCGCGACGACACTCGCTGTCCCCAAATTGGCCGTCCTGATCTCACCCTGGATTACGCTCGTTTCAAACATTCACTACCCATCAGAGGTCGACTACCTAGAACGAGACACGTTGTGGAAGTATGGGAAGGCGTATAGAGGATCAGCGGTACATGACCCTATAGCATCACCCGGACTGTGTGAAGACGGAGACCTCTGGACAGCAGTTAGTCCACAGCGAGGATACTTCATCGTCTACGGGGAGGAAGAGACGCTTGCACCCGACGCAGAGGCATTCGTTCGTCATCAACGAAAAAACAAAATCGAAGTAGACGCCATGGAGTTCAAAGGCGGTATTCACGCATGGCCGGTGGCATCACTAATGCTGTCTGGAACATGGGATCGGCGGTTACAGGGACTCGAATCTATCGTCGGGCACGTTAGACAGAAGTTCATGAATGACATTGTCACAAGAAAGAAAAATACTATCTCTGACATAGAAGCATCAGATTAGATCAAGTTTAAAAAAAAGAGTACAATCATAGACAGAACATGATATTTGCAGCTCAGGAACCAGAGCGGCCATCCAAGATGTGCTCGGCTTCGTCACCGCCACGTCGTCTCTGGGATTTATAAAGCTCATGATTTGCATCATCATAAATTCAACGCCGGCAGTGATAGATTACTTATGCACTGCCATCTTGGAAGAGAAGCAGTGGGGGACAATTCTTACCTCACGGAACTGATCTACCACTAAGCTATGTCGAGCCAGCTGTCTCGCAGTGGTATCGCAGTGGTGCATGACTATTAGACCATAGGCTCTGCTGGGATGGCATCCGTTATGGTTATCTAACTTCATCAGTGGGAAGGAAACAGAATGCGGAGAAGCAGGCTTCAATCCAACTATGAATGGTGGGCAGTCCACGACAGGAGCCATATTGCCTCAGGCAATAGCCAGGATGGGAGGCTGCAGTGGTGGCATGCAGGTTTCGCAGGTCGCAAGAGTTGTTAACCGCTTGGAGGACGTTCCGTTGCGTGTGCCTGATTTACGGCCGAAGAGAATAACGGCACCCAACGAGGCGGGATCCTGGAGCTCAAAGGAAGAGGAGCAAAAGACGTTGCGCAAGTGAAGATCAAAGCTCGTCAAAAAGCTTTCCAGCTCTACGGAGTACGCTAGTACTCTAGCAGTGGGGCGGATCTGGCTCCGGTGGCACCTGAACATGTCGCTTGGGTTTCGGATGGAGTAAAAGCTGCCCAGGTTGACGCGCTGTTCGATTGACTTGGCTGATGGCCCTGTTGTTTAGCGTCAGCCGTTTAGGCTTTCCGTCTAAGCTGCTGGAAGAAAATGTGCAAGGGCAGAGTGTGAAAATCTGGTGACTGAACTCAGACTACTCCGTAAGACGACAAATGGCGCCAAATGTGCGACATCCGTCCATGTTCAGATGTCAGCCATGGCGCTGTCGTCGCACCTGCTTGGAATCAGCAAGCGCCGGGTCGACATGGGAAAGCGCAAGTGAGGATACACGAAGGCCTTACCGCTTTCGGCAGCAAGCACCCACCTGCACTGTTGACCCCTCTGCTAAATCCACCCCCAGTCTTGTGAACAGAGATGGAACAGTCCAGGCAGACATCGACGGGTCCTCCACGGTCCTCCTCGGCCCTCCACGCCGTCCACGGTCATCCCATGGTCATCTGGCGCACGAATGACGGCAGTGTCGCAAAGTCTCACAGTCGCACAGATCCTCAAGGCTGTGAAGCTCACAGGTCCCAACTCCCAACTCCCCAGACGTCCGCCACACACACACCCCTCGCGATGCGCATATAAACGGTCAGCATTCCCTCAGCAATGCCGGGCCCGATCTGTGCTATAAGGATCCAGCCATGGCCCGCAAGCAAGCCGTTCGCATGTGCACCCAACTCATCAAGACACGCCCTCCTCATCTGTGTCGGCCATACAATACCAATACCGGTCGCTGCCTTCAGTAGCCTTCCGTCACTTCTGCTTCTTGGTCCAGGCATCGCAAGACAAACAGGCAGACGAGCCGCAGCCGCAGCCGCACACAGATCTGGCACAAGGTGAAGGCATCATCGTGCATTTCATCTGGACCACGGACCGCGCACAGAGGACGGAGTAATACCACACGCCCCTCGCTGTTCCCAGCTCGCAGCTCCTAGCTCTGGCTTCGAGGCTGGGTACTACTTCAGTACAATACGTTGGATGGGGCGAGCCTTGTCTACAGACAAGACACACAAACCACGCACCTCCTTGTTCTCTCCTGGGCCATACGCAATTTCAATTATAATTAACCTCCTGGCCAAGAGTTGCAACACGCCGCTGCATCGCGATTGCTCCCGTCGGCCCGCCTTACTTCCCACTTCGGAAGTCGCTAAGTGCGTCATTGTTGAGCCGTGAGAGGATCGACAGTAGCAACCAACATTAAACCATCTGCAGGGAAGGAGTCGCCTGGATCTCGTGTTCTGTTTAATCAGCGACTTTATAAGTCTCAGTCCAGCATCCAACATCCGGATCTTCTCGGGTCGACGCCTGCTCTTTGGCTTTTGGCAGAAACATCTTCTACCGTAGCCGCGTATTATACCTTTGGCAAGAAATATTTGTCCGTTTCTGGGAATCCGCTAACATTTGGCGGAGTACAACTGTACTTTATCCAAGGACATATCTTCGCCACAGGTACTGTACACCTTGGCATGGTCTAGTATTTTCTGTCATCTACTGCATTTTCCGCCAGCCTCACTGTACACACAAGTTCCATCGTCTGGGCCCTATTCGGGGTGGCCCTTATTGGGCGCCTGACATTCACGCATCCTGCCATAGTACAGCATACCTGTACTTACACATCAGAACACCAGACCTTTATTGCGGATTACGGTGACATTGCGGAGCATATAGCCTGTACGCCATCGCTAGATCACTGGATAATTCGACACAGCAAAACATACATTCTCCGAGCTCGCTATTGGTTGACACGCGCAGTCCCCAGTGTCAAGGCCAAGCCGTCATAGATCAGTCAACCCCTAGGCCAGCCCTATCCCTATCGGCTGCTATAGAGGAGACGTCGCGATCATCGCTGCTGAGTACTGGTGCATTGGCGGTCATTTATATGAGGTGTGTATGTAAATGCACGCGTACAAGGCAGTTGAATTGGCATTATACAGCACTCCGCACACGTCATCAGGAGTGTCGACGTAAGGGATTGCTTCTTTCGACATCTACAGTCGTCGAGCCCAATCACATCTATTACGCCATTCACTCCATTGCCGAAAATTCGACTAATTTCCCAGCTAAATTTATCGCTTGCCGTTATAAGATCAAGCTTGCCGGTGTTCATAGGTCGGGGCGTAACCGTACCAGATAGCGCGCATTTAAAAGCTTCCAAGTTGTAAGGGAAGGGAAAGGGTCTGGTGGGCCCCCGCCAATACAAATAGCCGGCCATGTCGGGAGACGATTCCACCTCAAACTACGCGCCAAAGTCGCCCGACCTTTCTTCTTTTTATTCAAGCGGCTCCGGCCCCACCCAGCCTGCCTCACAACATCTTCTCGGCCACGGCCAAGGGCCAGGTCAATATAAAGTGCAGCCTCCCGCCTACACCTATGGCTCTGCCTACACTCCACCCGTGCCGCAAACCTCGACTTCTCTTCAGCAACAGCGCATCAAGTCCAAGTTCCCAGCCTACTTTCCGCCCGTGCAGCAGCAATACTCACCACCGGGCCAGACCTCAAACCACTTAGCACCGCAGCCTCTGCAACAGGACCCTTACCGTCTACAACAGCCATACCTCGGCCAGGTGCATTCCGGACAAATCCAGCAGCAGCAGCGCCAGCACGAGCAGCCGCAGCTGCTGCAGTTTCAGCAAGAATACTCCCAAAAGTCGTCGCCGGAGTCACCAGGCTCAACCCGGCAGGCTGACTCAGAAATGCCTCCGCGAAGAGCTGCGGCACAGCCGGCAGCCCCTGCCATTGAGCCATCACCGGTCAGGACCAAGTTCCCCACAGCAAGAATTAAACGCATCATGCAGGCCGATGAGGAAGTTGGCAAGGTTGCACAGCAGACTCCTATTGCTGTGGGCAAGGCCTTGGAACTGTTCATGATTCAACTGGTCACCAAAGGCGCCGAGGTTGCCAAGGACAAGGGATCAAAAAGAGTTACAGCACCCATGCTGAAGCAGGTTGTCGAAACTGACGACCAATGGGATTTCCTGCGGGAAATTGTTGGCCGTGTCGAAAATGAGAAGGAGGGGAGCAAATCCAAGGCTAAGGCTGAAAGTGACAGCGACGAGGACTCTGAGCCAAAGAAAAAGGGTCGAGGGGGCGGCCGTAGGAGGAAGGTATAGACGCGATAGGGTGCATTCCGTATTCGGTGTTGGATCATGGGCACGCATAATGACTGGAAATGGAAATATTGAAGCTTTGTATTTTGTTTTATTTTTCTCGGGGGAGAGTGAATTGGCGTTCGGGTAGGTTAGCATAAAACTTCTCGGGCGTTCGGGGCAGCTGTTGTTTCTTGGACGCGACACGGCGCGAACAGCACCACGCAATGAGGCATATTTGAAGAGTCGATAGTGTTGTGTAAGTTTGCCCTATCACGGCGTCAACGCTAGAATTTGACATGAGCCAAATTTGGCTATTTTGGCTCATTCCTGTGACACCGTATGTTTTTTTTTTTGTGTGTGTATTTTTTTGGTCTCCAGATTGCAGAGCTACCCTAGGCCCAGCCCGAACAAAAACAAGTCGATTTACGCGTGCCGCCGGCCACTAATGTTCGCAGTGGCGATGGTCAAATTTCCAATAACTCCCCGGAGTCCTCGCGTGCAAATTTCTTGTGTATTTCCATGCTTGGGCCGCGTGTTATGCTATGTCCAGTGTTTCCACGGAGAGACCGCCTCTACGTAGTACTACTTCGTTGAGACAGCTGGTCAGTCTGGAGCTAGTGACCTCTTGACCACCCAACGACAAGGCGCATCAAGGACGGTATGTAAGTATGTACTTAAGTACGAAGAATATGTCATCTATACTTCCTGCATGCATTTATTACTTTAAGGCCTATAAAAAACGACTTGGTGCGAGTTGAGCGTGCCACAGAAAATGATGCTGTCTAAAAAAAAAAAAAAAAAAGGCTCGCGGTGAAATACTCCGTTTTGCATAGCATCTTGTATGTCTGGTATTCCCCCTCCCCCCACCTCTTTGCCGATCTTGTCGCGAGTCCCTCGTAAATTGTGGTGGAGCAGTGATCTCTTGAACTGGGGAGACTCGAGCAGGCCAACCCCAAGTTAGCAGGCGGGCCGTCTTGTCTCAGCAGTACCACGGGCGGTGAACCAGTCAACGTGCCTGGCTGTTTGGTGCGAAGTCTCCTTTTATTAACCTGTCAACTGTGGACGATTCATGAGCCCGAGACGCCACGGACCAGGGACTGGAGGCAATATTCATGCGCGTCAGGGAAGCATAGCATGAACATAAACAGTCCAAACTGCTGTCGGGAAAGCTCTGGAAACAATCAA